TTATTTTGCAGCGATTAAATGAGGATATTGCATCGTTAAGCGATAATATCGATGCTATTGAACGAATAATCAAGCAAAAGGAGGAAGAAGTGAGGCAAAAGCAACAAAGAGTCGTAGAAGAACGACAAACCGAGGTAAGCAATACTAATATCTACCTGAATACAAGTCCCTAACCTACTTCCGTTATCCACATGGAATGATGCTATGATCACGTATGCTCAGGAATTTTGTTGTTCACAATTCTGTGATAAAAACAAAAGACAAGTTCAAAACGATCGAGACTAAGATCAAAATTTTTCACTCTAAGCTGACATCTTCATTAATTGACGATTTAAGAAAAACGACCGTAATTGTAAGCGTGAATTTCAGCTAAAGAATTTAGCAATGAAGTTGGATGAACTTTCTGAAGAAGTTGACAAGATGCGAGAGGAACGAGGCGCTATGAAGAAAGAGATGAAAAACAATGAGATCATGATAAATAATTACCGAAATCGCTACAACACACTCATGCAAATGCGTAAAAATGTGAAAATTGATGAAAATGTACGCTGCTTACGAAATTAATTACCACTGTCGATCCATTTAACATTGAATTCTCATATCCTCGAATCTATACCCATATCAGATCGAGAATGGATGTGAATCTTTTTGGAGCGTTAGCCACCGATNTATGATCGATGACAAATACGGGGATTTGACTGCTCAATTGATTTCAGATGAGGAGAGCGCCGCTTTGAGACGTTTGTATACCGAAGAAAGGCTTCTCGAGATTCAGCTCAATGAGATCAATAAAAAAATTCGATCACTTCAACTGCAAATCAGTCGTGGCATTGTTTTCGATAAAGACAACGATTAGTGAACAAAGCACTAAAACAGTAAGGTGCGTTGTTGACGATAAGTTAGTTGTGCGATCACAACCAGTCAAAAAGATGTTATTGAAGATGGCAGCATGATTTTGCATGAGAACAACGCCGAAGCATTGGATTTCATCACAGTATCTCTAATTTCGCAATTGATATTTTCTCAACAACACTGCCCTACTGTTTTCAGTCATCTATTACCGATGCCATGCGCCTTATGAATGACGAAACTCTCAGCAATTGAACAAAGCTCCTTTAAACAAAGGGCAGGGAGCAATCAAACCACCATACAAAAATTTCTTCTCCCCACCAACGATAGATCACTGATCAGTACTTGATTGATCAGTACTTCCAAGCTGATCAAATTACCTGATCAAGATCGAAAGGGGGTATTTTTCATGTTTCGGCCAGGAAATTTTCACATTTAAGCATTGAAAACAAGATGTTAGCAGGGGTATGCGATGAAAATCCTGACAAAATCTTCTAAAGAACCATATCTTGACAATAGCAATGATCACGACGAACAGGCGAACTGAATGTGCTCAAAAGATTTCTTTCTATATGCAATGAAACAACTCCTTGCTGAATCTACTGAACAATTCTGGCTATAACACCATCTCCTAATGACACTACGATGTAATTGTTTGCTGAATTTTTGCAGTCAAAGCATTTAACAAGTTCTCCGAGAAATTTTTAGCGAATTTCTAATCAAACGGATTCACTAAATGCTCTTTGTATCATTTTATTGCTTTCTAGGGGACACTAAAATGTAATTTCTTTCAGGTTTTATTGTCAATGTTCACCGTCTTTTGCATTCGTTTCCAATGAACAAATCTCATATGAACAATCTTATTTGACGTCTTCCGCTTAATAGATATGCTTGGATTATTGCTCAACTGCTATATCCAATAGTACTCCTTCCCCTCTACCCCCTTATTATCGCCATTGTTGAACAATTTTTCAGTTAGGAAAGATAACGATGCGATTTACCGCTGCTGAAAAATTTTACGAAAACAAAAATTTATTGATTTCAGCAAATTTCAGTCAATGTAAGAATGAAGTGAATAATAATATTAATCAGTCAAAAATTCGCACAAAAACATTTCCAAGTATGAAACAAACGAAACGTCGAACAACGTAACACAGAAACATGGAAAATTGATTCTATAAGGCATAAAACAAAACAAAAAAAGAAACGTCTTGCGAACAGATCATTTCAAGCGATGAATCGATGCTAAAAATTCAACCATACACCAAAATTGAGAACAAATCATCTCAATTCTCAAATTCCAATAAAATCGTCATCTTTAAATGGAAGATAACACGTCTTTCAATCATCACCGCTATTATAACAACACGAACGTTCAATTCAGAAATTTAGTCGTAGCCGTTCAAATGAGAACATCAGCAAGCATGGCAATATTATAGGTCCAGCCGGAACAATCGAAAACGCACATTCAAATACTTCAAATAATACAAACATTCAAATTTCAGTATTAGACAAGAGGATGGAACGAAATTCGCAAAAAATTGAAACGTTGCTGATTGTAACAGTGAAGATTCAAAATTAGAATGATCATAGCATCCCAACTGATATGAAGCATTCATCGCACTTTATCAATAGTGATTCCTCATAAGGAACTGAACGGTCATAACTAAGGAGTAACTGTGTTCTGTGAAAACATACTGCCTTGAAGTGATTTCAAGACATTTCTGCTGCAGATGTCAATTGTTAATCGTGAACACAACAAATAATCTGATGAACAATAATCAGAATGAAAGTGAGCGATGATAACAACAGAATAAAATACAGTTGCGTAACCCGTCTATAAACTTTTGAATCAAGAGAACACCATCAGTTATGATAATCAGAAGTATTACGGTGAATATCAGTGAAATTACCAATCATGATAAAAATGATATGGAATATTTTTACACGACAAAAGGGCAGCAACAATGAGGGAAGGCATCCGACATTTTGAAATTTAAAAATCATACCAATAATATTCAAACGGTATGAAAGAAACANGTGAGTATAACGAGTACATAATAACAGATAATTGGATAACAGATAAAAGCCGGATCATAGCCTAGCTCAGGCTCACAACGTACAAACAACGGTTCAAGTGTGTGTCATGGAGAAACGCATCGAAACAAACCAAAATTGCATCAATTAAATGAGACAACAACAGCAACAACATCATAAGGATTCATCTTACAGAATAAAGAATCAAAACTCAACATTTATTAATGAAACGTCAACATCCTCCACCTAGAAACTGATGCAAAACTTTCTGATGAATAAATTATTTGTTTCAACCCTTTGACATTATCACCGATTCGCTGCCTAAATTCCATTATTCCTGTCGACATTCCAAACCATTCACATATTCGGATGTATCCGTTTGATTGAGATCATTAAAACGTACACCAATATTATATTGGTTGGTGTGATTATTTGAAAAGCTCCAAACATCAAACGACACTAATAAATGAAAAATGAAATAAAATCAGCTGATGAGTGCAATGCGTCAAATGAAAAGGAATCGCTTGTGCTACGTGACATTAAGATAATGATACACTATGAATTGGCACATCATCTTCAGAATTCGACGTGACTACATCATGAGTTTTCGTCATCTGAGTCAGTTTCAACCGTCGGCCAATATTTCATGCAATTCTTTGCCCCACATCTGAAAAAAAGCACGAAAAATAAATAGTAACCAAGTGAGATTATTTTGAATTGACCCAATTATCAGACCCAGAATGACCGTTGTTGCTAACTGCGAATTGGTGAAGATCAATCTACACTCTTGATTAATGATCAATAAGTGGTCTCTAATGAACAATTAACTGATGCTTTCAACGATTATTTGATGAATTAAGTTCGATTTCAATACAACATTCGCTTTTGTCCGAATTTTGCTTGGATGTCCAAAGAAAGATTCAAAGTGAAACTCACTCGCATCGACGTCTTAATCCAGAACTCGTCGATGTTCTCGACTTCATTTCGTCTTCTCGACCACGAAAATAGTTCAGCGTGAGCTCTTCACCTGAAATTTTCCATGGGCCGGAGTTTGAATACGTAACGAAACGTTCAAATCAACGTTTAAAGACGCAAAATTTCAATGAAAACAAAGTAGACTTGTGCTCAGAATAAACTGCTGAAATTAACAATTAAATTAAAGAATACATAAATGATCTAGTGTTAACTGAACAAATGAAGAAAGACTATAGATGAGAAAGGAACCTTTCTCGATACGTCGATTGCTGAAAAGCGCGATACGATGTAATGCTGGATCAATGCGTTCCACATACACACAGACAGCATCCAAATTTGGATCGCATGAATGATTGATGAATGCGGCTTCATTGCCAAAATGTTTCGCGTCGATTACGTACTTCACCTCGTCACCACCATCCATTTCAAAATGATACGTCGAATCATGACGAGATCGAGCCTCTTCAATTGACAACACCTTAAATTTATTCACTATTGCTCCATCTTATAACACACTGTACATTATGAAAGAAAATGCATAAGAATTTAACAAACTATTGTTCATAATCAGTTGAAAATGCATAAAAATCATCAGAACACTCAAGGTTCAAGCAACCTCTCCGACATATTCTACGACGAATGTACTCTCCAGAATCGGCTCCAATGTCACCACTCCCCATCCACACGTTTTACGTCTTACAATCGCCACTTTCTGTGTTCTTCCTCGCTATAATTCATTGCAATCGTAACTAATATCTATCTCATTTGCTGTTCGAATTACTTAAGTCACACTGCTGCACCATTCGGCTTGCTCGAAACCGAATGGCCTACTTAAGTAATTCATAAACAACTGACTGGATAAACAAAATAAAAATCAAAACAAAAAGAAAAACAGAAGTTCAATGAGAGTTTGTAACCTGCACGACTTTCGTTGGGCATGACTGGTCACACGAGCACGCATCGTTACATTCCACAATTTTTGCACTCACTCTTCGATCTGCACACGTGTAAAATTCATTCTTAATGCCATTCCTTCTTTTGTAGTAAAACTTCGAACCTTCTCTCTGCAAAATTATCAACAATGAAAAAAATGAATTGCTAACGTTCAATTTTCAATATCATCANGGTAACAACAGTGCACATCACCATTTCAATATAAGAAATTAAAAAAATAATTTCAACAACTTTAATTCAACAGCAACCAACCCGAGGACAGCATTTGTCAATGTCACCACAATCCGAACCGCAATTACAGCTTACCGACGTATTCACCTCTTTCAGAAACATCGTCAACTCGGAAGGATATTTATTCTTGAGGATGTACTTTAAAAATCATAGCAAGTTAAGCAGAGATGAAGATTTACAATTAGAGAAACTATCAGGAAATTTACAAGATAAAACATTGCACAATGCTTCCACTGTGAGTGATTTTGCAAATCCATTCGACAGTTTACAAACGAACACTTTTTGTTGAAGATTTGAATATTCTAAAAAAGGCAGAGAAAGGACTATTTTCTTTTGACAACGGTGAAAAAAACTTATAACTCACCGTGAAATCGTGACGAGCTCGTTCCGCATCGACATCATTGTGGATGTAGAGAATTTCACGACTGTTCTGTGTTAGAATGGTGTTGATCGAATGCTCCCAACGTGCCAAACTGTGCAATTGACGAAGATGATTTTGTAAGTAAGTTGGTTTACGTGTAACAACTTGCAACGCATGATAACGCCGATTGAATTCAGTTCTCTGAACAAGATAGTGAGGTGGTTTAAAATGTTCGGAGACAAAATTAGAGTGATGCTCTGACCATTATCATATTATCAGTTTCATTTATAACCGATGACGAAGTGTAAGCAGAGCACTGCTTTGGTCGTAAATTAAGGTGTGTGCATACATGACATTCACAAGTAATCAAACCACCACGAAAACTAAAATATCTTGCTAGAGTGTAAAATTCTTGCGCGAATGGAGTAAGATTCTCGAGCAGAAAATTCATAAAAGATGGACATACAAATATATAAGATTACTAACCACTTCTGCCCAGTCTCCGAAGCTCCTTTTAGTTTCCCATGTGCACGTTTTGTATGGCCAATCCTTCCATTTTACATAATATTGCACTTCAGGTCTTCCCTTCAAATACATTCACATCAAAACTTGATCAGTGAATTTTTGCACATTTTGATGTGAAATGTAAAAAAGAAAAAAAACTCCTTCATCCAAACTAATCCATATTTATAAAATAAAAACATTTATAAATGTTACCCATTGATCTTGGGTTCGTTTCGCCAGAATTCTCTCCACTTCATACATTCCATTCTCGTCGTAACCATGCGAAAGATCAGGCGCTTCATCGCTTTCCGAATCACTCGTTACCTTTTTCTCCTCTGTTAAGCTTTTCACTCCAGTGCTTGACTGGAACACGCATAGACTTTTTATTATGATATTACACATTGGCTGACTTAGGACAAAAATCGTAGAAGTGGTAGTTCAGGCCAGACAATTTTTGATCGATATTATAGTGATGCTCAATTGAAGTACTGTTCAAATATATATTGGTAGTAAAACGTTCTGAACCATCCGACCATATTAAGCGGAACAAAATTATCAAGGAATGTATCTTAGAAAACGAAAAAGTTAATAAAATTTAACCACACCTCGCTTCCCTCCTCATCTTGCACAGGATCTCCAACACAGGAATTTGATGTCTTCTGCATATGCACGGCCAGATTAATCTCATCATTCTTTTCATCTACACAATGACGATACGAACAATCTTGCAACAATTCTGATGAACGTCCATTTCCACAATTATCTGCATTTTTCGCTTTGTTGTATTCTTCAGTTTCCACACCCAATTCGATCATGTCGACTGGTGATTGCCACAACTGATCTCCAAAAAATTCACCGTTTGACACCACTTCATCCTGCCGTTTCTTACCCGTCGACATTTTTGCTGTTCTAGGCTCAGCTGGCTGATGCGATTCAATCACATCATCGTATCCTACACCTAGGATCAGTCCAGTCTCTTTCTTCGGAAGCGTCACAGAGTTGTGTTTCCCAGGCCATCTTCTCGACGAATCACTATCCATACAATCAATCTGCAAGTGATTATAATTTTTTTGTATAACTTTATATGTAACAAGCCGTCATATCTTTGACAAAATTGAAAGTTAGTTCAAAAACCACTTGAAATTGACAAGCATGAAATGTACGATTTACCTCTCTACTGTCATTTTCTTTCTCATATTGATTCACTGGATGTTTTCGCTTGAACGAACGACTCCTTAAAGACGCCATCAGGTCTTTAGTGCAAGATACTTGAATCAACGAGGAGACTGACTGAAGATGTCAATCTATAATGTGAATTATCATGACTGCGATAATCAGTGATGTACGGTGATACGTAAGAGAAGCACCTTGTTAAGCACATAATGTGGAAAAAATCGAACGAGATAAACCAAAAAAAAANAAAAAAAAACAACGGCGATTACACTAATCCAGTACATGCTGAGTTAAAAAATTACAAATCAAACAATGATGTGAAAATATAATTAAAGTGAACATATAAATAAAATCAATGGGTCCTAGTATTTGAAAACACACACTGTTTAAAACTTCGAATTGCGTAATTAACAGAATTTCTCAACGTTCCAAATCTCAACACCTGAACTGTACAAACAGCAAAATCATTAACATCTCATTGAGATTGATACGTTCTGAGCAAAATTCACTTACATGCAGTGTTCAAAACAGATGGAAAGGCGCGAAATCGGTGCGTGCAAATTGCTGGTCTATTCGCCAATAATAGTTAATACAGCAAATCGCCATGTTAAGAATTTATCTAATGCACTGCGTGTTCAGACTCACGTCAATTGGGTTTCAGTTGAGACCCATTGTGAGGCTGGGATTAAGAAATTCCAGGGACACCTTACCGTTGAAGGCGTTTCACTTCACTGGTAGACATCGCAATAGCAAATACAAATACGGTGCAAACTAAACATCACTAAACGTGAAGGCTAGTCGCATGCATTACTGCATATTCGAAAGAACCAAGGAATTTCCTTCCTAGTGTTCAGAGCAACACTTCCTAGAGNNNNTCCAATAGAAGTGATGAAATTTCCTGACTTTGCTCTTATAATCCAACAATTTTAATAGAAGCCTGTCATACCTAATCTATCACAGACCTAGACTAATCGTCAGGTACTGTTTGTATAGATGCTGCTCACTAACGAGAAGAATGTCTACCTTTCCAGGTAGCTTCTGTCTGATTCGTAGTATATCAGCCATAACCTTAAGAATTTCTCAACTTTAAAGTGCCAAGAAAACTGGAGTTTTGTGGAAAACGTAGTACAAATTGCATGATGATGAAGGTGGTAAAAATAATTGAAATAATAATCACAAATTTCATTGTACTCCCACGTATTTGTGAAAATCGCTGAGGTAAACTCGCCTGTTAGCTCACGATCTGCTTCAGTTTCATCGGCTGATTGCACATTGCTGTCTCAAACTCACGTTAGTGAGGATTTGATATTATGAAAGAGTTCCAGTGATCAACACTTTCGTTTTGACCACTTTTGACATGGAAATGTTTTTTTTTATATGGAAATCTCGGTCGTGTTGTTCACCCCCTCATGAGAGCAACTGCTGTAAGTCGGTAAAATCCATTTCATCCATGTAAAAAGAGCTGTTCAGCATGGATTGCAACGAATTTGATGCTGCTGCCGACTGGTAAGGTTGGAATGCTCCATATGGTTGGCAATTTATTGACGGTTATGAAAAAAATAGTGATGATTGTAAAATGCAAATAAATATTTCGTTTATTTAAAACTCTTTTACACTCACAATT